GGCCACGACAAAGAAATATTTTATATAAGCTAATGACTGATTTTTCAAGGCACTGAACCTAGTTTTTTGCCTTTTTGATGCTTTGTTTTTAATTTACACCTGCAGCTGTACTTTTAAATAAGGATGAAGTGTGGATATTTATTGGAAGTGCCATTTACTAAAACATCTTAGAATTGTCTGTAGTTCCTGTTTGGTCTCAATTCAGTTTTAAGGCTTGATCGTTGTAAATGTCAGCGTTGATTACACTGGCACTTCCCATGCCTGAATCACTGTGAGCCAGCCGGAGCTGGTAATAAAGAAGCGCAAGCGAGAGGCTGTTGCTCTGCAGAGCTGCTGGGGTGGCGGAGGGGGAATGAGGGAGAGCTGGAGCAAATGTGTCTGTGCGGCCACCCTGCGGCCAGCAACTGACCTGCGGTTTGTTGGCACAGGCGCAAGAACGTTCGACCGCCTCAAGAAGACCCGCGAGGAGGAGAGCCTGAAGCGCACCATGCTCACCGAAGTCCTGCAGTACATCCAGGACAGCAGTGCCTGCCAGCAGTGGCTCAGCCGGCAAGCCGACATGTACGCTTGCAGTAAGCTTAGGGCCCGGGGTTGCTTTGCTCGTGAGACTAAGGCACAACGTGGCTCTTTCAGGTATACTGAATAAGCCAGCCATTTTGTTCGGGGAGAGAATGATGCCACAGGGCCTTTTCTGTGGTGGCACCCCAGCTTTGGAATGCATCACCTCTTGAGATTCACCAGACACCTGCTTTGCTGAGTTTTAGGCGCTTAGCAAAAGCCTGCCTTTTTTTGGTGTGCCTACGGTGCTCCTAATTGCTTGACTAATTGCACTGTTTTTTAATATATTATATTTTTGCTGTTATTTAACTATGTACATTATGATTGCATCCCACTCTTTTTTAATGATATTTGTAATTGTGTGGGTTGTATCCCGGGATATTTCATTGGCATTCATTATTGCAGTGGCCACCCAGGGAGCACGAAGGTAGTGGGCAGCTTTCAGCCAAATTCAGTGACAGCAGGATAAGCAAGCAGCAGCAGCGTAGTTGCCCGATTGAATACGGGGGCGTTTAAGAGCTCTGTCAGTGTCCCCAGGAAATAGGTGAGGACAGGGACATGACTCTGGGCTTTGTTCCGGCATGGACCCTGTATGTGTGCGTGTACAGACAACCACTCGAACCACCTACAACTGTCTGTCTTCCTGTGAAGGCAGTGCAAGGAAGTAGACTGCCACCGCCTCGTCACTGGATTCCTGATCAAGCACCGGACTCTGCGTCGCCTCTGCCGCCTCCTGCCTGCCAGGCCTCTGTCCTCCCCGCCTGCCTTGTCAGCACTGGGTGGGTGGCACCCCCACCGACCCCCCACAGGCTGCCCGGCTGCCATCCCCACAACACACGATGTAGGAAGCGGCTTTTGTCCACAGCTCAGATGTAGGAAAGTGGTTTCTGTGACCCATTCTTGTGCCACACAAGGCTAACTTGTAATACGTATTTTTCGACGTTTTGTTTGCAGAGATTCTGGACTGAGTCCCACCATGTCAGTTACATCAAATTCAGGTAAATGTTTCCCAGCCTCGGAAGGCCTCACACAGCTCCCACGGTTAATGCGTTGTCCCTCTGCCCCAGGACTGGAGCAAAGGACTTGCTACCCTGTACCAAGAGGCTGTTCTAAACACCTGATTGCTCAGCTCCAAATTTCCTTTTCCATAACGGTACTAGAAGTCCCTCAGTCCAATGCCCAAAGCAGAGCCCTTCAAAGAAGACTTCTCCCCAGGCTCACCTCTCTCTGTTAGCCGGGCGATGTGTAATACCCATAATACCTGTCGGGAGAACAGCCACAGTCACAAAGGCTGTGCACACATTCACACGCACACTCCCCTCTCCCAGGATCACCCGCCAACCTGACTCAACAAGGATGTGCTCTCTTCCTCTGACCTAAATCACGGCACCACATGACACACCGCCGCGCATTCAGGGGCTGGTGGCTCTTTGATGGGGAGGCGTCCGGCTCTCCTCTCCCCCCACACACGTGACGACTTGGCTGGCCTGTAACGGCAACCCAGGGTTCACATGATCTATGAATGGGAAAGAATAAACACATTGCCTCACGTACGCCCACCAGTCCTGTTTCTCCTGAGCAACTTGCAGTCAGCTGCTTCGTGGCTTGTTGAGCGTGATACACAGGTCTGGACCAGCAGGCTGCTTAGGGGCTAAGCAGGATTTGCTAAACAGAAATATGCCCAAGCATCACCAAGCTCTGGGGTTCCACTGCCAAGGCACCGAGCTGATGTGGCTCTTTATCCTGGTCGGTACTGAATGCAAGCGCGCACAGTGGGACCAACATAAGACGAGAGAGATGTTGACTGCTCCTCCGTCTGGTTTCCCAGTGCTCTGGCAAACCCTCCTCTGGCCTCGAGAGCCCAGACACAGTATTGTGGACACACCGGTCCTCAACTCTCCCCCACAATTGGGGCTTTTCAGAGTGCTTCCTGCCCATCCCATTTACTACCTGCCTCAGTCTGCTCACGTCTCATGCTTGCCATCCATCGGGAAACCACCTGAAGAGGTAGCTCCCAAGTTTGTTGCAAGGACCCCAGACAAAAAAAATAGAGGACTGCAAAGCAGGAAGCGCACCGAAGGTATTAAACTGCCCCAGGCTGAGTCAAACTCTTGGTCCTGCCAGCCCAGTTCTGCTCACTGTAGCAGCTGCCCAAGATTACAGGCCAAGGTGTGTCCTAACCCTGCTACCCAGAGTCCTTGTGGGAGATGCCGAGAAGTGAACCTTCTGGATGTGCTCATCCAGTTGATTTTGGATCTTCTCCAGAACGCTGAAGACGTGGTTTGCCAGATGCTGAGACAGTGGCAAGCTCAGCACAGAAGCAGACGGCTCAAAATAGATTTGGGGCGAACATGGTCTTTGATATTAGCTCAAATGCATTCCCTGCCAGCTCAGTCTGTGCCAGGGCTGGGGAAACTTCTCTTCGTCGAGGACTAACGTGTTGGAGGTCAGATGCCGGCAACAGCACTACTTTTCTCTCTCTCTCTGCCACCCCCTTTTCCTCCTATTTTTCCTCCCTGACTAGCAGACTGCTGAGTGAAAGACAGATTGCTTTTGCCAGAAGTCTGAAACGATCGTTTGCAGAGGATGTTTGAAACTGGGCAGAGGGCCACACTTTGCCTACTCCTCATTGTGCCAGCCAATTTGAATTTTAGTGCCCACGTTGATCAGAGTTCTTAATATTCTCCTTAAAGCTGTTCTCCCAGAAAGCATTCCTATTTGCCTTCTCCACATTTTACAATGACTTCACAAAACCTGCACCATATTTCTTCAGAAGTCAGTGCTTTCTGCTCTCAGAAAAGCATACCAGTATCACAAGCGGCCATCAAAGCAATACAGAGCTTGAGAAATCTTGAACTATCCTAACTTTTTCCCTTAATCTACAACAGCATGAAGGTGGGGACAAGAACTGCTGTTCCTCAGAGCTGCCAGCTACCACTGCAACACTAGTTGGTCTTTTATTATCTTCCACAGGTAGGAGAAGTGCTCCTCCACTGAACCTCACCGGCCTCCCAGGAACAGAGAAACTTAATGAGAAAGAAAAAGAGGTAAATAGAGAGTAACTGGAAAGATTACATTGCTCAAACTGCGATGCTCAGCTGTTGGTCTCATTTGGGGAACGGGCTGAGCCCAGTCATAAGACGGCTTTGGCTGATGGATGCATGGTCCCTTGCCTTAATTCCTCTCCATTTAATGCTTTCCATCGTTGTTCTGTACAACTTGTGTGATGCCACTGCCGAGAAAACTGTATTTCTGTATGATTCCGACCTCCTGCAGTTAGCAGAGTCTCACCTATAAACTCCGGCTTTCCAGGAGCCCATATGGAACAGTACCACTGTGCCTGCAATTCAACTTGTTCAGCCATTCTCAAAAGGAAAAAATGCTTGTATACACAAGAGAGGATTTGTGTATGTGATGTTACAATGTAAAGCAGAGCTGGGGAAAATTAGTTCCTTGTTTTGCAAGAAAAAGGCCAGGATTCATAGAAGGGATTTATCTTTGAGTAGACATGATGGGGTTGCACTTCCTCCTCTGTTTATTTCAAGCAAATAATAGAAGGGCAGCTTGTCCCTTTAGATTTCCCAGCAGTACAAGGCTGATCACCAATTAAGTATTCAGTCGCTATTCTTGGTGCTTTCCAGTGTCAGACATGAACACGCTTCTCTGCCAAGTTGAGAGAAGCTCCATTTTCCTTAGATATTCTGTCACTGCTGTTTAGTTCCTGCTGGGGGTTCTGTCAGTATTTCCTTGTTTTAAAAGGGGTGGGGGGTATAGGAAGCTGCTTTGTCTCCAATGGGGTCATTATAGCACAAGATTTGTCTCCAATGGGGCCAGCTGCTGCCATTCCTGGCTCACTAAATTGCATGGAAGACCTTTTCATAAGCGCTTATTTCAGTCCCCAGCAGAGGCAAAGACTTGCTTTGTCATAAAAATCCAGCCTTCAAGAACTCCATCGTCGCCACGGCCTTTTCCCACAAATTGTTCCTGCTGTATGCGACTGGGCAGAGCCAAGTGCTGGCTTTGTGGGACGAAATAATAAGGAGCAGCCTCGGTTTTGCCTGTGGGGATAAGAGACAGCTATCCTAATTGGCACCTCTCCATCGTGCTGCATCCATCATGGCTGGTCCCCCGAGTCAGTGTGATCTCCTAGCGTTATTAAGAAGCTAGCACTTCCCCTCCTCCCCAGGTATACCCAGCAGACTTGATCCGTCGAGGAAGAGCAGGGTTTGTCCTTCTCTCCTCCAGGAGGAGGCAGGGGTGGGGTCCTATCACTTCCTGGGAAGCTATGTCTTGGGCTCTTAAGAGGGCAAATTATGCCGAAAGGGATCCTTCCTATGCCGTCATTTACTGCACTGTACTGCATCTGGCGCAGTGGTTTAAACTGCTGTGCTGCTGGGCTGGTTGATCGAAAGGTCGCCGGTTCGAATCTGCACAACGGAGTGAGTCCCTGTTGCTCTGTCCCAGCTCCTGCCAACCTTGCAGTTTGAAAGCATGCAAATGCAAGTAGATAAAAAGGTACCACTTCGGTGGGCAGGTAACAGCATTCCGTGCACTTCAGTGTTTAGTCATGCCAGCCACATGACCACGGAGACTGTCTGTGGACAAACGCTGGCTCCCTCAGCTAGAAAACAGAGATGAGCACTGCTCCCTAGAGTCAGGCATGACTGGACTTAACATCAAGGGGAAACCTTTACCTTTTTACTGCATCTTCCGTCACCCTTCCCTGCAGCTGGAAATGAACTGTCCAGTACTGGATACTTATTCTGATGGCAAGACTTGTTGGCTCCTTGGCTTCTGCAGGGTTTGGAAATGTGTCCGTTAGCTAGAATGCCGCCTGTTGAGTGGTTGAGCAGTTGCAGCCAGGTTGGGGCAAGGGTGGAAAGGACTTGTGATGAGACCTGCAAATGACCTGCTACCTTCTCCCCAGCTCTGTCAGGTGGTTCGACTGGTCCCAGGAGCCTACTTGGAGTATAAAGCAGCCTTAGTCAACGAGTGCCAAAAACAAGGAGGGCTGAGGCTCGCCCAGGCACGTGCCCTCATCAAGATCGACGTGAACAAGACCAGAAAAATCTATGACTTCCTTATCCGAGAAGCATACATCACCAAAGCCTAGTGGAAAAAGACTTTAGGAGTTCTTCCATAGTGCTTTGGAATCTTAAGTCCCCAAAGGTCTTTGCTGGTGGTTGTCTAGGAAATTTGTGAAGCGCTCCCAGTAAAGATTAACTTCTTGTACTGCTTTCCTTTTTAACTCCACAATGTATTTTATTATTATGCTGCTATGAACTTCTTGAAAAGGGGTGTAATCTATTATTAAACAATGAATGGGCATTTGTTTCTTGCACATCATCTTGCAACTATAAAAGAAGTAACTGAGGAGTGCAGCCCATTTCATGCGCAGCTTTTCTCAGGAGGCCCAGCCAAACCACCCCCCTTCACTCTCCTCTTCCAGCTTCAGGGTCCTGCCTTAAAACTTGTTTGTTACAAGAAGCTTCTTCAGCTCATGTTGGAGGAGCAAAAGACGGCATCACATGTTCAAATTACACCATTCACAAAGTGGGTATGAAAGAAATGTCAGTTTAGAAAGATGTTTGGAACATAAAAGAGTTACTGATCCTTCAAGTGTCTGAATTCTTCATCAAGAAGTCAGGCTTTCATGTGCAAATGTATGCACATATAGGCTGTTTATGCAAATATGCTAGTTTTATGTGAATGTGTTCAATTTGTGTGTCATATTTTGAGCACAGCCCTCAACTACCCTATGAATATCAGGCTGAAGATGCAGATGAAGAAGCAGTGTCGGGCATGGGGATGACATTATGAATGAGCAAAGGGCTGAAGCAGTGCAGGGCTAGATGAAAAGCTACAAGTGATGAATGAGGCTGCAGAAATACCATCACCTGAATATTAGAGTAAGTTTTCAATACTTCCACATCTCAGTATACTTTTGAGTACCAGATGCAAACAATGACAGATAACCATTACCACAGTACCCTGCTGACATGCTTCAGGGCTTACCGCCGGAAACAGAATGAGAGACTACTATAAACAGATCCAGTGTGGGGCAGAGTTTATATTGTTCACCATGAGGACTAGAAACTGGGTTTTTTGTGCAATCAAAATATGAACGTTCTGAAATACAGATTATGTAAGCCAGCCCTGCATTATAGAGCAGTACTTAAGTGAGAAAAAGAGTCTTGTCTTTTCTCCATGCTTTCTGGAATGGATTATTAACTCACCGGTGCTGTTAGTGAGACTGCACAGTACCAACATTAAATTTTATTCTTTTGTCACATTGTTTCTATGGCAGCTTGTGAGTAACAAATACATCCACACAGAAACAGCATCATACCTGACCACAACCACAGCACCCTGGAATACCAAAGCATTCGCTTAAAGATACAGGAATACCCTCTCAACCATGTGAGGACACTGTAATTCGCTGGGGAAGTACCAAACCAGCCAAAGAGAAAATGGAAAATAATGCCTTGTCAGGAGAAAATACCACAATCTGACCAATGTTTTTCGGGGTCATATGGGTTACTCGACTCTCCTGTATAAGGATGGCCTTTGACACGACTTTACACATGATAATTATGGCTGCAAGAGCTGAGCTACTAATAAAGTTGTCAGTTCCTTCCCAAAGACATATGTGCCGTTAATAGCCATAATGGGAGTGAGAGTCAGGAGATGAACATGTTCCATCTCACCCCATTAGGCAGTTATTCAAAGACATGGGAAGCCTCGAGAAAGGAGTTGTAATGCTTGCCTGTAGCCACTCGGTCAGGGAATGTTTGCATAACTACACAAAGTAAAATTTGAGTAATGTTTGGCATCCTGCTAGTGCTGTGCAAGCCACTTAAAAGCAAACATGATGCTTAGACTAGTAGGAGCTGCCCATATACCTGCTTCCAATTCATGTATTTATTTACAAGATTTGTATCTGCTTTTTCATTTGGCATCACTTCTCAAGATGGGTTGCAGAAAAAAAGTAAAAATTCCTACACTCAGTAATTCAATAAAGTGCCCACATGCACCCAAGCCAGAGGCAGAAAATAAGCTGGGCAAAAAAAAATTTTTTTTAAGTTTTTAATTAGCGCTAACAGTGTTAAGCACATGATGAAGATACATTTGAGAAATCAAAGTTAACCCTTAAAAGCCCCTTAATAACAACTCACCTCAACTTAAGTATTACAGGATTAGTCCTGGATCACCTTAAAGTGTATTCAGAGCTCTTTTTGGACAGCAAGTCTATGAATGGGTATCAAGCATTAACAGCGAAATCGTTCTGCTTTAGAAGCAACACATTTCCCAATACTGGTTGCTGGGAGGCAGATGGGAAAGGCTGTTCCTGACATGTCCTGCCTTTGGATCATCCCGGAATACTGGCCGTCTCCCAGTGGCACAGGGATTAGATGCGGGCTGATCCCCTAGGCTGTCCCTCCTACCTTTAGGTGTATCTAGGCCTAGCCATCTGCTCAATGCTCAGCAGGAAACCAACGTGTGGTGTAGCAGATGCGGGTTGTAGTCCCTGCCTGTCCACCGAGCTGACTGGATTCAGTCACAGCCTCTCAGCCTAGCCAACCTCACAGGCTTGTTGTGAAGAGAACATGGAGGAGATGCAGATCATGTGCACGACCCTTTGCTCCTCAGCAGTAAATATGAGATACCAACGCAACAAATGCATGATTAAAGTGCATGAAACAGAGGTTTCTCAATAAACTGAATAACGGCATAAATGTCTATGCTCCAGCTCCACAAGATAAGGGGTGGATTACCCCATACCTTTGGATGAATTGCCAAAAAAAAAAAAAAAAAGGAAATACATCGCCCAAGAAAAGAGGGCCAAAGAAGACAGGAATTAGCATTTTTAAAGTTGCATATGTTCACACTTATACAACAATTAGAAGTAATAATTACAATTTAAATAGAAATATCGTTCATCTCACCATAGAGAGACAGACTGTGACCAGGTGACCTGTATACCTGCCTCTTCAGTCTACTCTCCAGGTGTCTGCTGTGGACTGGCCAGGAATCCTATGATTCTTCAGCTTTAAAACAGACCTGGACAAGACAGCCCTTCAAACAGAGGACCTGTAGGAAGCTTGTCGAGGATCAATTTATTTAGACAGCATATGACAGTGAAGGTTGAAGTAAGGTGCTTCCTTCTGACAGAAGCAGAAAAGGTAAACACTAGATACAAAAGATTTAAATAAGGCAGGGAGGCATTGGCTGAAAAACCCTCTTGTACGTGTACGTGGAAGCCCTCTTGGGGCACGGCAGTGCTGTCTGAAGCATTCAGTCGACAAACCAGGAGCAGTCTGGCATATTGCCTTTGTGTCTGGTCTCTATAAATAACACGCTGCGATCTTCAGCACTCCTAGGTTATTTTTAAATTTCTGAGCTGCAGCCTGCTACCATGCAGTTAGCAGAGCAAAACAAGGTGTTACCAGAATCAAAGATGAGCAAAAAGGAGACAGTGGTTTCCTCTACGCACACACACACAAAATGATATACAATAAAATCCATTCATCTGGCTTAAGACTGTTGCACACGGCAACATCAAGAAAGGGTACCTTTCTGCAGTCAGGTTGAGTTATGCTGAGTAAGAAAACTTTCTTCCTAACAAGTTACTAGTCCATAACATTTCTTCAATGAAAGCAGGTATCAGTGTATGGCTCATCTAGTAATTGGTGGCTCATTATTGGCCCCAGTTTGATTTTTATTCTTGTGATCACTGGGTTCTAACCACTGACATTGTAAGCTATCCTGAAACTTTAGTTTCAATGGGAGAGAGAGATTATATTATTGTAAATAAGTGACAGAACAAAGAATCTTCTTTCAGTTTTCTTTACTGAGTGCATCTATTATATTTATAACATCACAACCTCCATGGAGCAAGCACACGTGGTATGCTGTGGCGGCTCGTGAATTGCCAATAAATGAGGGCAGATATTTGAACAAAATTTGCATATGCTGATCTATGTAAATAGATACCCAGGGAGAAAGAACCGTTTTATGTTAAATAAAGTACATCTCACCACAGAACGAAACACTGTGGTGAAGTGACCTGTTTGCCTTGCTCGGTCCACTGGCCAGAAGCTGCTGGTGGACACCTTCAAGGCCCAAATCTTGCTTCTGATGATAATCTATTTTTTTCCCCACACATGGCCAGAACAGCCCTTCAAACAGTGAACACCTTCAAAACAAAGGACAGGCCTTTGGAAAAGAAGGCACACAGAAACCTGAACCTTACTTAAAACTCAAGGAACAAAACCACACAATAAAAAGTTGTCTTTAGAGTGCAGAAAGAAACCAAGCAGCTTTGAGTTTAACGCCTGTTTTGCACTCTGTGTCTGCTTCAAGCACAAAATTCATCGCGAGTGCTGAGAGAGCAGAAGGTAACCAGGGACATATGTTTCAAGGCACAGTTCTGTACCTTCAGCCCTTGGAAAGCAGCTTAGCACTCTCCATGGCGCAGTGGGATAGTTTTAGACTGGGCTTGGTAGAGTTGCTGGGGACGGGGAGGGAGCTATTTCGCTCAATTTAAAATGCTTCAAGCCACCCCTGCTGCATTTGGAGGGCCTGAGTGAGACCAGGAGCCTCTGTGCACACACGCCCCTCGTCTTCAAGAAAGCTTTCTACCAGCATGACCCTCCAAGCCTGAGAGAGATCACAATCAGCCCTGATACATATATTCACAGAACAAATCTCTGAAGTACAAACACCTGCTCAGTATTACACATTCGGTGTTCACCTTCATGCCTCTTTCGCTTTGGAGGTTGAAGGAGCCCAGGCGGCATTGTTGAAGAGCGGAGATTTGGAAACAGATTTTAAGGATTAATAATGCTTTTCCAAGCCATCTTTCAGAGCACAAGGTACCGACACGCCCCCCCCGCCCCGCATCCCATTTGATCCTTGTCGCAAACCATATGAAGCAGATTAGATGGAGAGAAAGTGACTTGCCCAAAGTTATTCACTTAAACTTCAGGGCTGAGAAGGGATTTGAACCCAGGTCTGCCCAAGCCTTGTCTGATAATGTAAAAGCTATACCATGCTGACTATCTAAACACATCACATGCAATCCAGTGCTACATTCAACGTGGACATGGGCCCCATTCCAGGTGTAGTTTATGCAAGAAGAGCCCGTGTAGACAGACAAAAGTGCTGAAAATGCTAGGCTAGGTCCAAAGACGTGCAGGAGCAAATCCTAACCCATCCCGAGCTCAACCCTGCACCAGTCCCACTGCTACTTCTCAGCCTAACCGACAATTAAGATTGTGCAGAAGATGAAAAGAGACAAGACCTATGCATGGCACCTCGAATTCCTT